CAGTTGGACACGACTGAAACAACTAAATAACAGCAGAAGTTTTGTATATGGAACAGCAAAAGCTACTCCAGCATAGTGAATGCACTTATATAACTATTGAATGGAATTCATTAGGCAGCCTTCCTCATTGAACCTGAGAGGTTAGAGCATCATCCCAACAATAGCCCTTTACAACTTGGCCCCTTCTTGCTTTTCCACGTTTCTTACATTTTACTTCCCTCCACATACTCTATGATCAATAATAGTAACCTTGTTGCTGTTCCTCATACACTATACTTCATCTCCCATCTCCGTGCCCTTGCACTGGCTGTGCCCCCTGCCTCGATTGCCTTCCCTCTTCATTTCCACCTCTTAGTTTCCCTAGCTTCCTTCAGGACTAAGCTCATAGCCCACCTTCTCTATATTTTTCAGGTCTACCCTCTTTCTCCTCCTCCTGTCATTGCTTTTTCTCTAAGATTATCTTCTATTTATAGTCCGTATATCCTACATTGTCTCTTTGCAGGGAGGGATCGTGTTTTTGCCTTTCCTTTGATCCCCAGTCTTTTGCACAGTGCCTGGTGTAAAGTAAGCACTTAATAAATGTTTGTTGACTCATTGACTGACTAGAACTATAGAGGAGGAATTGGATAAGTGCCAGGAATAACTGGTGCCTACTGTGACCTCTCTCCCTCAGCAGTGTGCCCTTCCCCCAACATGCCAACATGCATGGGGAGTTATCCTGGACCTTGTCTTTGGTGGGAGAAGAACAAAGAGTGAGGGGACATGATAGCAGAAATCTTAGGTCAAAGATTACAGAATCACTACATCTTGGAGTTGGAAAAACCCTCAAAGGTCTTATAATCCAGACACAATCTAGGAAGGAATCCTTTCTGTGACATCAGGGAAAAACTTTCTAAAATGAATCAGGGCCTGGTCTCCCAAATCCCCCCAATTTGAGAACCTAACAAGAGGCCAACCCAGTGGGTGCAGGAAGATGTTACAGGAAAGAGGGAGAGGGGTATGTCCTGCGTGTCCTGACTAGCTTATTTCCATGGGCACTCTGACCCACAGGTCTTCGGCCTCCTGAAATGTCCCAGGTAGGCTGAGCACATAGACGTACATCCATCCAAACAAACACACAAACAATTTCACGTGCATTTACACACATCCACTCACTCCCTTGCCACCCTGTAGAAATAATCCCTAGCTTTTGTGGGGGGGTGGGGGAAGGAAGGGAGCTTTGGCTAAGTTCAGCTTTTTCTCAGGCAACCTTAAAGGTGGGCTGAGCCTCTCTTGCCTCAGAAATGGGAAGGATCCCCAGGCCCTCCCTCCTTTTCCAAACAGGTTGGTGACATTTACTTAATGCCTACTCTGGCAGGATTATCATTAAAGCTGCTCCCAAAGCACATTAATCTCTCTGGATCCTAGCTGGTGCAGGGCTGTAATGGCATTTAATCAGAGGAGGCTTTGATTTTTAAAGACAAATGCAAACACAACATGATCTGTTAGTGGTACTGTTGCTTGTTCATGACCAAGAGTGTTTGCTGCTGGCTATAAAGAGGATACTGACATGTGGAAGTATAGTGTAGAGAGCACAATTTGCTCTTTACACATCCAGATGGATTAGTAGTCAAAAGACTTGAGTTCAAATCCTGGCCCTACCACTTATTACTCCCATGACCTTGTGCAAATCGTATTCCACCTAACCTCTCTGGGCCTCGTTCCCTCATCTGTAAACTGAAGGGGTTAGACTGGGTGGTTGCAAAGGTCTCTCTTAGCTCTAAATCTGTGATCATGGCAATTAGGGTTAAGACACGTGAGGAAGTGGGGTTTGGAGGAAGAGCAGGCTGAGATGGGTGATTATAATAATTTGTTGTTGTTGTTCAGTCATATCTGGCTCTTTGTGACCCTATTGGGGGTTTTCTTAGCAAAGATACTGGAGTGGTTTGCCATTTCCTTCTCTAGCTCATTTTATAGATGAAACTGAGGCAAAAAGGGTTAAGTGACTTGCCCAGCATCACACAGCTGGTAAGTGTCTGAGGCTGGATTTGAACTCATGAAGAAGAGTCTTCCTAATTCCAAGCACAAGACTTTATCTACACTGCTGCCTGGCTGCCCTGCATCATAATAATAGCTAGCATTTATAAAGTGCTTTAGGGTTTACAAGATGCTTTACCTATGTTAGCCCATTTGATCTTCACAACAGCTCTGTGAGGTAGGTGCTATTATTATCCCCATCTTACAGATGAGGAAATTGAGGACTGAGAGAGGTTAAATGACCTACCCAGGGTCATACAGCTAATAAGAGTCTGAGCCTGAATTTAAACTCACCTCTTCTTATACCAAAGTCCAACACTCTGTCCACTCCATTCAAGCCACCTAACTTCCTCAAGATAGAAAAGCTTTCCCTCTAGGGCAGCTAGGTGGCGCAATGGATAGGGCACCGGCCTTGGAATCAGGAGGACCTGAGTTCAAATCCAGCCTCAGACACATAATATTTCCTAGCTGTGTTGTGACTCTGGGCAAGTCACTTAACCCCAATCACCTCACTAAAAAAATATAAATAAATAAATAAATCCTTGCCTAGCTCTATCCTGATTTACAAGAGTAGCCTTGCTAAGATGAAAGTTCTATCATATGTTATGAGTGAATGGGTGAATGAATGAATGAATGAATGAATGAGTCCATCAGCAAGCATTTATTCAGTGCTTGCTATGTGCCAGGCCATGTGCTAGGTGCTACAGATACAAAGAAAAAAAAATCAAAATAATCCCTGCCTTCAAGAAGCTTACATGCTATGAGAATGAACCATATGACCCAGCTACAGCAGCAGCAAACACTTATTAAGTACATACTATATGCAAGGCACAATTACTAGATGTTAGAAATAAAAAGACAAAAATGACAGTCCTGCCTTCAAAAAATTTGCATTCTTTTGTGGAGAAAGATGAACACATAGATATTGTTTAGTTGTTTTTCAGATGTGTGTGACTCTTTGTGGACCCCTTTCGGGGTTATCATGGCAAAGATACTGTAGTGGTTTGCCATTTCCTTCTCCAGCTCATTTTACAGATGAGGAAACTGAGGCAAGCAGAGTTGAGTGACTTGCCCAAGGTCACACAGCCAGTTAAGTTTCTGAGGCCAGATTTGAACTCAGGTCTTTCTGACTCCAGGCCCAGCACTCTAGCCATTTTGCCACCTAGCTGTCCTATAGTAGAAAGAAATTTGGGGAGGAAGAAAGCACTAACCACAAATATTATGAAATACTTAATGAAATTGTCATCCTTGCATGGGGTCGTATTAACCTTATGTCTGTGGTTCTGGCTTTAGTATAGATGCTACCTGTCTCAGAAAGTCATACCTATGATAAGGAAGATTGGTGTTTTAATTTTATGTGACAGGGAGGGGCAGGTGAGGCTGGTTGAGTTGGCCTTGTAATCAGATTCTAGTCTGACCTCTGCTGCTAAAGATGTGTGATCCTGGGTGAATTAATTCAACTCTCTCAGTCTCCGTTTCTTTATCTAGAAAACGAAGGGTTTGGATTAGATGTTCTCCAATGTCCTTCCAACTCTAACTCTTTATGTCTTTGGGGTGCTGCCTTCAGCCACTCTGGTATTAAGAAATGCCCGTTTGAAAGCCTCATCAGTAACCCTCAGCTAAAATGAAGTGGGTACCATCTAAGCATCTTAATGCCGTTGTTTGATGCTTTTATAAAGTGCTTTTAAGGTTTGCAAAGCACTGTGCATGTGTTCTCTCATTTAATCCTGTGAGATAGGTGCTATTATTACCTTCATTTTGCATCTGGGGAAACTGAGGCAAAGAGCAGTTAAATGACTTGCCTTGGCTCACACAGCTAGTTGAGTGTCTAAGGCAGGATTTGAATTAAAGTCTTCCAGACTCCAAGACTAC